ATAATGATCTTTAAAAAAAGCATCATATGACCCCTTTAACATTTTCGTAATGATTGTTGTAGTTTCCAGTAACATAATACAGCAGAACACAAACTAACTTGGCATTGCGCTCCATCCAGAACTCAAGCTGGCTGGTGATATTCTGCTGCTTCCACTCGGTTAAATTGGCCACAAAGACTCCAGGATTAAACGAGCAAGTGTTCGCTCTCATTCCAAGCTTCTTGATCGCTTCTTTTTTGAAGTCCAGAAAACCAATATAGCTGTTCTGCAGCATGTAAAAGAAATATGCAAAACCGTGTAAATATATAAAATATGTATTACATGTTCTGAAAACTTTCTTTGAAATGGGGCTACGAGCGGTACGACCAAATTCTTAGGAATAATTTCATACCGCAGTGACGGTATATAAATCGCAACAATATAGAAAATAAATTGGTTAAAATGGGTTTATACATATGGCTGTATTTGAATAATAAAGGAGTCCTAAAAAAACATCCTATTTTGTATTTTCACTTTTCTCCATTGATCTTCGTCAGCCCTAGTATTTTGATGAAGTTCTATGCACCGTGTGAATTCTGGAATACAGTCAATTACAATCAGTACAATCATACCTGATTTCCAGCTCCTCTGACGATGCCTTTAGAGGATGCAGAGTCACAGTCCTCTGAGAAAGCTGCCGCATGTCCCAACTTAACACTGGTGTCGAAAAGCTCCCGAATGTCCCCTGAACCAGAGAAAAGATTGCAATCAGCGCTACTGTAACTTACTGTTTTTACTGCACAGTATCACGCTATTACTATTTTTGCAGCATACAGTATGCATACTTCCACAGTAAGTCTATACAGATGGTCTACTACATGCAATACAATACAATGAACTTTACATTTTATTTCTAGTGTGACAAATTAACTGGCAATTACAGTAGTCGTTTTATATTTTCTTTTTATATACCAAATAACTTTTATTTACCAATATAACTGGACATCACTCGCTGAATTAAAAATGTAATAAGGCCATTTGATAAATTTACTATTCATAATAATGTAGTTTAAAATACACCACAAATAACTATTCTGTTTAATATAATATAGCTGTATTTTTAAATCTTAGCAAAATTCCAAGGGAGGCTCAAATTAACTTAAACTGTTTTGAAACGGAACAAAAAAGCTTTCAAATAAAATGAAAGTACTACAAATCTAGATATTTCTTTCTTATTTCAGATATTTCTTATTTGTATTTTTCTTAGAATCTAGATATTTATTATTATAATCCAGCCCCAAACTTCTGGAAATCTTTAATTAATTTTAATTATATATTTTTTTAAATCTCTTAATCTATGAGCAATCCTAATTCCTCTAAATGTTGCAGTGATATGACCTTTGAATATTGTTGTGAATATGTGGGTCTAGAGGACAAAAGGGTTGAACCACTGCCTAATTAAATAATTACTCATTTATGACTCCACAAAGTGACAAATGTGTCAAAAAACACATTAAAAATATTGAGGCAAGGAAACATGGTTTTGTTATTTTAGAGACTATTTAATTGGACAGAAAATTGGTTATGCCCCAATTGATTAATGAGAATTTTGGGGTTCGTAAAAAAAAATACAAACTATAAAACTATGCACTTCACCTTGTACAATTATGTCATCATCCAGGTAAATAACTTTCTCTGTATCCGGCAAGAAAACCGGCAAGAAGAATCTGGCAAAGTTCAACTGGAAAAATAAGATACATACATACGTTATGATACACATTTTCCATTTTCACAACTCCAAACACTACTTAGAAATACAAGCGCTTGCAATTGATTACCGGCTTCACTGCCTCCACCTTCTGAAGATCATTCGAAATCTTTCCTGTGAGGATCTTCGGATCAAATATGATAATTTTGTGTTTCATGTCAGTCTTACTCAACCATGTTCTGGAATGAGAAATAATCATATATTACATGTAATGTAACATAATATTGTTTAATAAACCTCTGTAATGCAATACAAGGTGTACCTAAGATGGACCACCGACTCGTTTAGTGTCACTATATTGAATACTACATTGGCTTTGCTGTTGCGGTAGATGCTGTTCATGGCGGTGACGGCAGCTCCCAGTCTCTCCTCTGGAGCGGTGATGACCACAGGGATCTCATCTCCTGTCCTGATGAGCTTATGATCCGACAGGAAGTCCATCTCAAAGGGCAGGACCATCCCAGGCACGGTGTCTGCTAAAGGAAAAGCAGTGAGGTGTGACTTTTCATTAGAGATGCACCGATTGCAATTTTCTTGGCCGATTCCGATTTCTTTGTTAGTGTGATCTGCCGATACCGATTTTTGCCGATTCCGATTTTCTTTCTAAGAATTATAATTGACAGCATATACAAACAAAAATCTACTTTTCTTCAACGCAACGTTTTATTTTCATAAAAAAACAAGAAAAAAATCAGTAATAAAAGAACAAATTTAAAAAAATGGCAAACAAGAGCACAAATAAATATTATTATTTTACTTTACTTTCTGTAGTCTTCATTGTAAAAATTAAATACAGATTAATGGTTACCATTAAAGTTATAAAGTTATAAAATTGGAGAGCAGAAAATGATTTTTTTTTGTCTCTTGTTCTTTGATTAACATGACAGACAGCAGCAGGAAT